ATTCAACGTTGATGTTGCATCTATTATAAGTTTATGAAACTACAGTTACAATTGCGTAACATGAACGTCGTTTAAACATTTACCATTAAGCATTTATAAGTGAGTATGTAGTCAAAACACGTATCAGATTCTTGGAATAAACAAAATTCGCAAACGTCCTGTTAACGTTATGATCCAAACATAAAAAATTGTTCATAATTGACCTCTGTGGTTTCCATTAAAGTAAAAACGTTAAAATTTGTGTTTCTTTTCGACTAGGAATAAACGCATCGAATACCTACCCGCAACAGATCAACATTTCTTCATAAATATATATTTCATGCAGAGGAACAATCCATGCGCGATTGACCTTGTCTTTTACCCCCACCCTGTATTTCCACTGCGTTTACGTATATAAAACGTGCATTACACCATTTTGTATTTATTGAGCTCGCCGTAACTGGTTTTAGAATTTCTACGAATGTCTACACGGCTTCCCCTTATAGAACCGTTCATTCCTTTTTTGACGGAGCGTCTCTTCTCTTTCAAATCCGCAATTGTCGGCCAAAACGAAACCCTTTTCTCGGTGCATCCTCGAAAGAGGCCGTACTTGCGCTGCGCCGCAGGGCGGCCGCGGTGGGTCAACAACAGTGATTTCGGGCAGCTCTCTGGCCGGTTTAGTTTGCGTCAAAATGGCAGGGCCCAGCAGAGTTCCTGGTTCCCAAAGTGCTCCAGGAGATGGGCCAAAGGGCCAGAAATTTGGGCTGTCCCGAGGGCGATTCACCGCCAGGGAACCCCTCGGCCGAAGCTACGCGAGAGCGCTCGTTTCGGATGGATCACCGATCTTTTGCTTAAAACCCCATTTACCGGGGTTTATCGCTCGTTCGGTCGTTAAGACGGGGCTCGTCCTTTCGGTAAAATAGCTGAGGTGGAACTGCCACTTTGGACGCTTGTCGAGGTTGCGGGAAACGAGAGAAGTCCTCTTCGCCCGACGTTGAGGACGTTTGTCTTTGGGGCCTCATCAGGGAACTCTTGAAAAACTCTGAGATCGTTTTCGAACCTTTTGCTCGGTTACCCTACGGACACCTGGTCCCGGGAAGGAAAAACGCATCCTCGGGTTTGGATTTGAAATTCGGATATCCCGAAGGGACGTGGAAAGGTAATCGCGGCTTCTGATATTGACGACGTCCCGAAGGCAATCGCGACACTTTAGAAATTTCGTTCATTATTTGTTTCAAGCGTGTTCTTAGCCAGGATGTTTTATCCTTCGTCATTTTCTTTCTAACTCGACGTTTTACATTCTTCACCGTTTCCCCTTACTAGAATATTACTTGATTCAACTATCTTTCTCTTTCGCGTAATCCAGGGAAGGAAAAACGCATTCTTGGTCGCGCATTTTAAATTCGAACACCTGGAAGGAATGTGGAAACGTAATCACAGCTTGTAATAGTAACGATGTTCTGAACTCATAGAAATTCGTCATTATCAAATATGAGCTACAGATGCTGCAATTCTTTATCTGCAACGCGTGAGATAAATTTGACTGTATATATGCGTACAAACATTGAGACATTGCATGTACTTAACTTTGTTTCGTATTTAAGTATTTTTTATTTGTTATTGTACACTGCAGATACGAGTTGCAAATGAGGATTCATAAGCAACACCCTCAAGACTCATTTCATGATCTTTTATGAGGCAAATTTGATGCAAACTTTTCATCACTTTGACTATCCGGGGAAGGTAGTCGCGACACCTTGAGGATTATTTTCAACGATTGTTTCAAACACGTCCCTAGCCAGAGTTAATTATTTCTATGTTCCTTTCTTTGCAAATCGACGTTATACTTTCTTCGTCATTTCCTACTTCTAGAGAGTTATTCTATGGTTTTACTTTTCCTCTTCGCCTAACCCGACGACCGGCACCATCAACGACTCGCCAATGTGACCGATCTAACTAAACGACGAGGGAAGATTTAATCGTGTGATAAATGACCCGAAATTTAATACAAGTTAAATTAGTTATTAGACGGGTACGTTCCATTAAAAGTTTCTTGAGGCCGGACGCGTCGCCGCAAGAACAAAAAGGTACATTAATCCTATCGTGACGAGGAAATACCGAGTATCATTGTGCGAGCTATGTACGCAAGGCTGAATGGTTACACATACGAAGAGAGATACGTTATCCATCTCGAATGGAAACTGAAACAATGATGACGATACCCATCACTTTCGGCAAAAATCCCTTTTATAACGCTGCCCAATACTTGTGGTGGATTGGTGATAAATCCCGGTCGAAAATGTTTACCTCGTGTGAGTATTATAAACGCACGTAAGTATTTGAAATATAATACAAAAATTTTAAATAAGAAGATATTAATGAAACCAGTCTCGTCCGAACCTCAACATACATTTATGTCTCTTTTATAGGGTTGAGGTATAAACGAGCATTAAATCGAGATTCGGTTAAACCTCGGAAACCTCAATTTTCAAATATTCCATCGAGCCTCGAGTCATTCTCAATATCTTCCCCTCTACCCCTGTCTCTAGAAACGCACTTTTTAAATAAATTATTAACATAAATTGTAATTTTTAATTTTTCATATTTCAGGTTATACTTTTTACGAGTGAATTATTACATTGTAATCATGTTTCTCTAGGTTTCAAAGTACATAATAAAAAAATCAAAACTATGATCAATTGTTTTCATTTTCCCCATCCTTCTCCAATATCTAATAGTTTGAAGATTTTCAGGACTAACTTGTATGAAATGGAATAACCATGCTGTTCTAAGATGTTTGGTCTTCGATTTAATTTAAACATTACGAAAACTTCGAAGTTCTATCGTGGAAAGTGAACTCTAAGGTTCTTAGTAAACTAAATCAGATTGAACCTTCCGTCTATAAACTAATTAATTAAAAATGGGAAATTAAGAAGTTAGACTGAGATCGGGAATTTTTACTCGTAGACCGCGTGGAGGGAGAAATTGCAGGGCTGAAGAAATCTCCACATATCCCATTAATGGATTGCATTGTACAATATTGTATACACATATATACGTGTATAATACATATATATATGCATATGTATAAGCCAAATACCACACGTTCACTAACTGACTGACTCCAGCCCAAATCCCTGCGCATAAAAACGTGAGATTGGGGGTTAAGTTCCTTTTGTAACATAGATGCTCCCTAAGAAGGAATTTTTCGAAATTCAACCCCTAAGAGGATGAAAAGGGGGTAAAATGTGTTTTTACAAATTTCTTAATATCTCTCAAGCCCGCTAAGATATCGACTTAGTTATTACCTAAAAAAAAGTACACGTACAGTCCTAAAAAGCAATTTCAGAATTTCACCCTAACCAACCTTTCAGGGGGTGAAAAGGGGTAAAGGGTGTTTTTACAAATTTCTACTTGCACATATCGAGGCATGCTGGTGTTCAATATATGATATACCATGCTCACCCACGATTCCGTACTTCATTTAAAAGGTTTTGCGTAGAGGGTATAGGACCCGCGAATTCGTGCGTGTGCTTAGTCGCGGAAGATCAGACAGATTAGAGCGTTCTTCTGGTGGCTTTTCCTTCGTAGCTCGAACCATTCCCCTAGGCTGAGTAACTTCTTACTCCGGATCTCGAGGTTACGGCACCATTGATGACGACGAGAAGAAACGAGAGGCCCGAGGAAGGGCATCCGCAAGTGCCGCGGCGCGCAGGCTTTTTCGCCAAAGCCGGTCTCACACCTGACCAATCAAACTTTCTTCTTCCTGGCAACTTTTAAACCCCCCTAAGGAACCCCAGCAAACGATTAGGGCTAGTTTAATGAGTTCCCTTACTTAGTCAGCAAGGACTATTATTAAGTAGCATAACCTCACAATTTAGCAACAAATCCCGGCCGAGGGCATTACCGATCCCGGATCGCAATACTAGGAAATAATCTCGCGTTCAAACTTTCTTCCGTTACCCTGAGCAAACTTGTACGATGTGCACAATAGTTGCCGGGTTCGGTTAAATGACACCATTTGGTGGGAAAAATATTTTATCTCCCATTTGAAAGCACATATTAAATCGTTCGATATTTACCGTTAAAGAAGACGGTCAAATCCGCGACTCCCTCCTGAACAACCTACCACCTTTTCTAGAAGACCGAAAGTCGTGGGGGAATTTATGGAGCCCTAAGATCGAGGCTAGAAAATTCTCTGGAGGAATGGATACGCGAGGATCGTTTCCAGCTTTTCTGGAGAAATTTCCCGGGGCAAGATGGGCTTTCGAAATTGCTCGGTAAAGGATACCCCCGACAAAAAGGACGAGGGACAACCGCAGGCCGACCTCAGGGCCGGCTACCATGAACGAAAACACATTGCGCGAGAACCGTCCACGCGGAAACGCGCGCCGCTGCCGAAACGAGGCCGCGAGACCGACGGTCGGAATACGAGCCGACCACCAAATAGAGGAGCAATTCCAAAACAAACGATTCAAATCGAAGACTGGCCAAACGGTCCTCGCCCATGCAGTCCTAGAAGACCTCGACTTTAACTCGGCCCCAAGGAACCACCCCCAACATTCGATCTTCAAGGATCTGAGGCTTCCGCGGAGGTCGTTCTTTCCGTACATTTTGGCTTATCTCAATCATTAACATCAGTGCTTTCGAGCCTCGACGACTGCAATCGTCCCAGCAATGTCAATGTTAATGGCAATGTTAACAGCAATGTCGAGAAACATCGACCGTCAAACCCGGTTCCATCTCGGAGGTCAAAAGGTACGATTCGCTCTTCAACTTTCAACCTTTTCCACGACTAGATTCGCATCCGCGTTCCTCAAAAGTTAATTAACCCCTGCCCTACTTCTTTTAAATTCTTCCGTGTACGAAAATAGGCTTGACCAGGGCAGAATGCGAATACCTCGATCGTTCCAAGGAGTTTATTCAGGTGGAATGGAATTTCAAAAAGAACCACCCTACAAAGTGCCCCCAGAATGAAATGAACGGTTCTCTCGGTTTACGTCCCGAGGTCGACGACTAACCTTTTTCCATTCCGACGTCGTCTCTTGGTGGCGTAGACGGTGCCCAGCTGGCTCATCGCGACGGGGTTGTTGGATCCCGACACGGCGGTGGGTGCCGGCGCCGAGGTCGGCGTCATGGTGGCCTCAACGACGGGACTGGGCTGGGGGTGCGAGGCCGTCAGGGTGAGCGTCGACCCTGGTGGGTAACATGTCGCCGTAACGTAATCCGTCGGCGTAAGCGGGGCCGTAGGTGGCCCGCAGATTCCGACGACCCCCGGGCCTACCGGGCCTACCGGGCCACCGCCGACGCCCCCGAGGACCCCCAGCCCTGGGGCTGTTCTGTCCAGGGCGTACACCGTGCAAACCGTGGCACCGCTTCCTGCTGACGGCGTTTCCGCCGTTACGTCATTCTCCGCTGTCGCGACCAACTGCTGTTCGGTCCGATGTTGCAGCGGTGACAGCTGCAACTTCGTGCCGGGTGACAGCCTTGCTGACCGCCTCGCTGACCGGACACAAACCGCCCAAATGGCGATCTAGCCGATCGACACGAGGGCCGAGATGGCAAGTCCCAAGTCCAGGGGTCTGGGTCCCTTGTATCGGGAGGTGGGGGATTTTGTAGAAACTGGATTTCTACGTTGGCCACGAGTGGATCAAAAATGAGAACCGATCGCGCACAACTGCTTTTGGTCCCTGGAAACGTTGATTTGCACGTGGATCAGTGGACTGGTTCGACAGCCGAGAGCGTATCAGGTACACGACGATGGCTTGATCTTAGTTCGGGCCTGTTCAACTTGACGTTTCTTTATAGTTCACGGATTTTAAGAAGGTACCTGGAGATTGGTTTGAACAGGGGAACACGTTCTGCTCCTGAAAGGATCGCTGATTCGTTTCCCGATTTGGAACACTTTTGAACAGGTACCACCTTTCTCATTGCACGATTCTTCTTCTCTCTGGCGGGTTTAACGGCTCATCGGGCTCGATATCTGCGTTGAACGTATTTTAATCTCGCATACGTTTGTTGAATCCGGCACAGATATTTAATATAGTCGTACCAGGAAAGAGTCATTCGACGGTCTGGCGACCGGTGGACAGCTATGAACGAAACAACGCCGACTGCACGGTTGAGCAACGATCGGATCACCGATAATGAGACCTTCCGAGTACGTTCTGTCCCCGGAAGAGTAATAGGTTCACCCGAGCTACCGTACGAATGTATTTACGTTACGAGGGGCCATCAACGCACTTTCTTCCGAACTTGAACATTCCACAGGGTGAAAAAATATCGTAAACTTAGAAGCCTTGAGATCGGCAAAACCCAACCGAATTCAGTCATTGGAGGTTTTGAGTCAGCAGTTCATGATTTCGCAAAGTCCAATTCATCCATCGGCTAGATATTTCTGGGCAGCCACGAACTTCACCGTGTCATTGACTTCGCGGGATCCCGACCCACGCTGTCAAAATGTCTCAAAGTCCTCCGGGTAGTCTCAGTCCTCGTCGGGCGAGGCCTCGCTCGTCATCCGATCTTCCGAAGTTGCCTCCCAATGGCGCAAAGTGGCTCCAACCGGTGTCACGTTTCTCAAAGCTTCCACCCTCGCTGCACCATAACCACCCACGCACGGATCATGGCCTTTGGATGCCAGAGCAAATTCCGGGGCAAGGGAAAACTTGGAACGCACCACCGCGGTTGCCGTCACCGGCGTCACCGTCGTCCCCGGCGACCCTTCACTCCTACCCCGACCGTAAGTCCCACCCCCGCCGCACCCCAAACCCCGTCGAACGTTCGAAGCTGCACTTCCTCCCAGGTCGCCCTCGCAGTTCCCGTTCCTTCAGAAACCGCTTAACTCGTCAATACCATCGGAGATCCATCCTCGGTACTGACATCTCCCCACCACCCCACCATCCTCGGACCTTCCTATCAGGCACCCACCCCTCCCACGGGGCCGGGGTCCCCCACCCGAGGCAGACCCAATGGTGCTTCCGTTATCACGTGTCCCCGAGGGGGAGGCGCGGTGATATCGCCACCGCGAAGCACCTCGATCGTGCCCCCTCCACCCTCGGCCGGAAGGTCACCACCGATGTCACCGGCGTCTTCGGACTGATCTTGGCCGACGTCCCGAATCCCGGTAGTCGCGCGGCCCTCTCTCTCCCTCCCTGGACGTCGCCCCTGGTCGCCCCTGTCGTCCCGTCCCCCTTCCCCGCCCCTCCGAATTTCTCTCCTCTCCCTCCTCCGACCTAACCTGACCCCTCGAGTGGGTCGCCCGTTCCCGCCAACTCGGGAGAGAGGTTAGGTTCGCCCTCGTGGTCGCGCTGGTCAGCCGCTGGTCGCGTGAGCACGGCCGGTATACGGTGCTCGCCTCGTAGAAGCGTGTCGTGTACTGCCCCTGTCGGGCGTAGCATAAGAGAGCCGCGGCATAGAGCGGAGGCGCTGCTAAGTGGTGGTGGGCCCGAGTACCCCTGAAGAGGACGAGGAAGAGGCACCGGGTTGCCGGCTGGTGCCCCCTCCTCGCGGCGCCGCGACGCCGCCCCTCCTGCTTCCCCGCCGCGACGCTCGCTCGGCCACGTGCCGCCGTCCACGCCCACCCGGGGGACCCGCCAGCCAATCCCGGAGGCAGCATGGCGCCACCGGCGCGGCCGGGAACCCCATCCCGACCCATTCGGCGGCCCGGAAGGGCTGGAGCCCAACACGCGGACCATTCGCCGCGGGTTACCCGCGCGAGCAGCGCTAGGTTATTGCATCGCAGGCTGGGATCGCGCTCGGGCTTCGGGATCTAGATACGGGAGAGCGGTCGGACGCTCGACGGCCACCAGCCAACGAATCAGAAATGCGCGGTGGAGCTGTCGAAAGGGCGACGAGGGGTAGATCGGAACCAGGAACTCGCACCTCTGATGGAGGGGAAAAAACTGGGGATTGTGACGCGGATTGTGATAATCGATACCGATCGGCGAAAACTCAGGAAAAAGTTGTAGGGATTAGAGGGAGCGGTATGAACGTTTAAGAAGGTTTCAAGGTCCTTTCCGTGAAAAGGATTCAAGGGGAAGGCGAATGATCCGAATTGTCGAAGATACGAGTCCCCGTGAGGTTCGATCGGCGTTGGCAACGCAGAGACTCATACCCTGGAGTTCGACTCCATTGGTCTGACAATGACGAGCTATGTGTCGATGAAACCAATCGGAAATGCGCAGTGGAGGTAAACAAGTTGAAGGTTGTGCAAAAGGTGACGAGGAGTAGATTGGAGGACGGAAGATGTGATCTCTGAAAGAAGGGAAACAGATGGGGGATTGCGATGACAATCGTGATAGGAGATACCGATCGGAAAGAGCTAACGAAGAAGTTTGAAGGATTACCGGGGAAGCCAGGGATATTTAAGAGCGTTTCTTGTCCTCTCCATGAAGATGATTGGGGTCAGGGCACCGACCTGGACCTTACGAACCCCCGTGATGTTCGGTCGACGTCAACAACGCGTAGACTCACCCCCTAGAATTCAACCCTATAAGCCTGGCAACTTTGGGTCGGACCTTGAGCACGCTGCTGCTCCAACGGAAGGGAAAGAACGAGGGGAACAAATTGACGAAGGTTTATACCCGGTAAAAAGTAACTTTATGAGAAATGTATGACCGGTGATGGCAACGGATATCGCTTAAACAAGGCGTCGGGGAATCCGGCAAACTTAGGTATTGGGTCTCCAAGACGTCGAACGTTTTTGCCGACGAGGGACAAGTACTCCTCCCGATGTTGCATTACGTCCACGTATTTGGACCCTCGTCAACGTCGAGATGTTTTGTCTAAGAGCACGGACTACGGCCACTTCCTGCATTCCGTGGTTAGAACCTAAAATCCTCCCACTAGTGCGAGGACGTACCAAGCGAAGCGATTACCAGAATGCGTCCCAATTATGGGAAATTAATCGTTTCCTGTCCATCCACCCCGGGCATCCGCATCTCCATTAGCCCAACGTTTTCATTGCTTAGGCTGAGTTTATGTACGTTCCGCGAGCAGTCCACGTTCTTAAATGAGCTCGCTGCCCGCTTTCTTCCTCCCCGTCCAGGGTCGCGCCGTTAATACGGGACGTATAAAATCTTATTTTACTAACGTATTACACACCTTTTTACCGAATTCTCATTCGCGTTAAGAACTCATTTCACGCACAGACCATGCTACGGACCTTGAGCCGCTACCGCTGCAAGAGTCCGCTTCGCTGCACGCGAGACACCCAGAAGAGGAGAAGCTCTCCCTTCGCCCTTTTCATCTGCCCTCTCTCTTGCCCTTGTTGTTGCTCGTATCGTTTGCGGGGCCGTATCGTGCGCCTTCCTGCGCCCACCGTTATCCGTATCATTGTCCCCATTCTTGCTCATAATAACCCAATAAACTCAATATACCGGAATGTTCATTTTATAACGTATGATGGACATTTAGCGTAGGCATAAAAAAAATACACCTTTATCCACCCACGATAATTTCTTCTACACGTTAAATATATGTTAATAAGAAATGTTGATTCTTTCTGTCAGGTATTCGATGCAGTTTCTCCTAGTCGAAAAGAAACCTGTATTTTAACGTAACATTTTTACGTACGTTAATTGAAAGTATTGCGAACGATGATGAACTATTTTTCCACGTTCGGACTGTAATTTTTGTAAGACGTTTGCGGATTTAGTTTATTTCGCGTATATTGTGAACCACTTGAATACCTCCTCACTTATGCATGTTTAATAGTAAATGGTATGCGATTGTAACGGTTGTTTAATGAACATCCCTAGTAGTACGGAATAATTTCTAAATATNATATTATGAAAATAATATTCTTATGTCAATATTTTGCAAATATGTCAAATATCTGCTAAATATTTAAAGAATGTACGATATTCGTTAAATATATAGAAAATATAAGACAAATATTTTGTGCTACTAGGAACGAAGTAGACGCAACGTTAACGTTGAATTTAACGTATAAAGGACGGACATTAGTCGTGTAAAACACGTTTCTTTGTGATACACTTTATACGATTAACGATCAACCATTTTACCCTACTTCTACTTTAAACGTATCTCACTTGTTTGTATTTATCGGGAATGCACGGATGCTGAGACCTT